GCGCTCGGGGGGGGTGTTGTTACGGCAGGGTGGCGCTCGGGGGGTGTTGTTACAGTGGGGTAGTACTCAGGGGGGGTTGTTATGGCGGGGCAGTACTCAGGGGGGGTTGTTGTTACAGTGGGGCGGCGCTCTTTTTTTTTTTTTTTTTGCTTGTGGCGGCAAAAAAGTTTGTTGCCAGGGCTGGCTCTATCATAATAATAATAGAGGGAGAGCGAAATTAAGAAATTAAGAAATAGCCGAATTACTCCGCTTCCAAGCAAGGGTAATCTCCCCTATGTACTGCAGCTGCTTTGCTTGTCTACCACGGGAGTTTGAACTAGTGCATCTGCATCAATGGCTGGCACTGACTGCTGGAATTCAGACTGATCCTGAGTAGAGACTAGGTCTGAGCCTTTCTTTATATCAGAGAAAGGTTTTTAAGTAGCTCTAATATATGCATGGGTTTGCTGTTTGCCAATTTAGGCTCCTGCCCTTGGAGAACAGGAGCAGCACCCTGGCCGTGGATCTCAAAAACCCGATCAAGATGATGATGAAAGCCATGGACATCATCACCACCATGGAAGGAAGGAGAACCGGCACCCCCACAAGCATGAGCATAAGCAAGAGCACGGACATGGGCATGGGCATCGGCATCCTTCCCCTTCTGAAGCCAGTCATTTCTCTCCACATCTGGAAAAAACAGTGGGTTGGGTTAAAGTTCTCCCTCCTAAAGAGGAGCATGTGTCTCTCCACACCTTACCAGAAAATCAGAAGGAACATATAGATGGAGAGCCTGTTCCCCCGGAGAAGGCAAAGCCAGTGCCAGCCTCTCCAGACACTCATGGTGTCGGTGATGTGAAAAAGCTTCAGACAGACACGTCAGAAGGAAAGCCAGGCTTGACCAAGCCCGCTACTGGCCCAGCCATTCTCCCTTTCCCTGAAGGTCCTTTGCAATCGGATGCGTGCCCAGGAGAGCCCAAGTTTGTTAATTCCATCATCCTCCCTTTGCTTCCCAGAAACCCTGTCAAAATAGCAGT